AGAGCTTTCCTACTCTCAGACAGATCGACACTCCCACCCAGCTTAGTGTCCTCTGCAAATTCACTGAGGGTGCACTCAATCCCCATGTCCAGATCATCAATAAAGGACTGGCCCCAGTACTGAGCCCCGGGGAACACCACTAGTGACCAGCTGCCAATTGGATTTAGCTCCATTCACCACAACTCCCTGGGTCAGGCCATCCAGCCAGTTTTTTACCCATTGAAGAGTCCACTCATTCAAGCCACAAGCAGCCAGTTTGTCTAGAAGTATGCTGTGAGAGACAGTGCCAAATGCCTTAATGAAAAGTATGTACAACTGGGGAAGGAAAACCACTCCCTAGCTAAAGAAAAGTCTCTTACATTTTCATCAAACATGGAATATTTGTCAAGTTCCGATTTAAACATTTCATGTGGTGGAATCTTCATCTTTTCCAGTTTTGCTGCCTGTAATAGAAAACATGCATTAACATCACAGTAAATTACTGACAACCTGTCACATATGCAAAAGAAAAAGGAGATTCTAATTTGCACATGCAAAGAGCCATTTAATTCACAATTATTTACCATGCAAAAAGAAACTCAGAGGAACAACTCAGTAGGTCTTAGATGTGCTTGTCTGGGGGAAAAAATGTGTTTTAAATTTGTAGAGAACCACTTGATAAAATAGATGTGTTGAAGAAACTCAAAATAACTTGCTTATATACTTCAAAGACTACATCTGATTCTTGCTAATTTGGTCCCTTAGTTTACAGAAAGCGAATAGTTGCTATGAGTGAAGAATATTGAGCAATTAACTCACTGCAAAGGGAACCACTTTTATCAACAACCTCCTGCTGACAAGCAGAGGTTTCTGTGCAGGTCACAGCAGGATCAGATGCAGTAATTGCCCTGAAAATAAACTGAACTTTCACGTATCTGTAAACAAGCACATCTCAGAATCCTTTCCAAGTAATTTATTCTCAATGCAAGGGAATCACCTTTTTCAAAGACTGAAAAAAGTTACTTGGAATTTGTGGATGATAAAGGCTATTTATCTGTTTGTGTCTCTGTACATGGTGCTCTCTAAAAGTTTACTTCCTCAGGAATATATTTCCTGTACTGTTAGAGTATGACAAATAACATTTTCTTCTTGTGAGTCCACCTCCTCTGTCTGTCTATTCTCCATTTAAAGCCTAAATCTTTTGAGCTATCTCAATTCCAACTAGAGAGATGAAACATTTCAGTGTTCAATCACAGGGAACAGGGGATTTCTTAAAGAGAAAAAAGAAAAGAAACCTTTTCACACATACCTATGATACCAGAAAGGGAAGAAAATAATAAATGACACAAGCAAAATCTTCTCTAACAGTGACAGGCATGTAAGATACTAATTTGGCAATTAAGGAACTAATAAAGTCTATAGACTGAAATAAGTGCTGCAAGGTCTTCTAAGAAGCTTTTGCAGCCTTTAGTTGTGTTTTCAAAGACAGCTTTTCTGTAATAGGAGCTCAAAATTCAGATCTGAACTGCAAGCCAAAGTCATTCTGGGCAGGAAATTGTAGACAAAGCAAAATAACTGGAGGCCTGGTTAAGGCTGGGCAGAGAGCCGCTGTTCTAATGTGCCCTTTCCTGCACATGACTATTGCTGCCTACACTTCTCTTCAAAATGAGGTTAAAAGGATCTGAACACTTACTTCCTGCTGTTGTTTTTTCCTGGCTGCTTCTTCTTTCTTCCTTTTTTTCTCTTCTTCTATCTATAAGAGACAGTGTTAATGAGTAAAAGGTAACACACCATTGCATTTGGTTGTTTGCTACAAATGTGAGCCAGCTATCTCCCCTGGATATCTGATTACAGACAGAACTGGCAGCACAACCTGTAGCAAAACCACTATGCCTTATAATTAGGATTGTCTGATACTTCCCACTTTATGATTTAATTTGCTTTTATTCACAGTTAAACCAGTTTTAACTGTTCAGAATGCATTTTGCATGCAAAGTGTATACATATAAAAGAATAACTACAAAGCCTGCAAAAGAAATGGTCCTGTCATTTTATGGGGGGGAATGTTTTGCAAATGACTAAAAAAAGACTGCATTTCACTGATATTTTAAGCTCTTGCCTCAAACTGTGAAGACATTACAGTTTCCCAAGCAGCAGTTGTATCCCTTGATGTTCCTAGGGAAACCACTACCCAAATTTAGCCAACTTAGAAAGCTTAAAAAAAAAATAAATCTCATCTTGCACTTGCTTAGGAGAGACCTATCATTTCTCCAAGGGTTCTGCCAGTACTGAACATAACACTGTTTCCAGGGAAGAGGTACTGTAGCTGCAGGTTCCACCCAGCAGCTATATACAAACTGCCTTCAAATGTCTTGATGAAAACACCCGGAATTGGCTAAACCTACATTTTACTTCTCCCTTTCCTAAAGAACATCAGCTTGGAGGGAGAGGTGTTGGAAGCCTTCCAAACATTTCTAACTGCGATGGGATTTTATTATGTGTTAAAATTGAAGACAGAAGTGTTACTTTCAAATGCTGCAAGTCAAATATTAATGCAAGGAAGCACCAAAAGGAGAGTTTCACTCCAGACCTTGTGCACGTGAATTAGAACTCAAAATCTTTATATAGTAACGTGTGAATTCTTGCCACCACATCCAGATTATCTCTCTCATCCATACTACGTTAGAGTATTTAGCCTGTGCATTTTTTTAATCACATATCAGATAAATACAGTCCAATTCTATGGAAAGTGTCAACTTCACTGGTACAATCAAAAGAAGTCAGAATTAGCTTCTTCTCTTTCAGAGAGATAAGACAGGATGCATGCAATACTCAACATCCCTTAATTATATGAAGATATCAAAGAACAAAGAAATAGAAAATCCCAAAAGATATTCACGAGGTCCCATACAAAGTTTTCAAGAAGCTACTTTTTCGAATTCTTTTTTTGTAACACACTCAAATTTTGGTATCAATTCTCTCACGTTATTTTTCTTGTTGCTACTCTGTTATGATTTTTCCTATGAATTACCAAAGAAATGTAGAAGTATCCATAGCTTACACATTATTTGAAAATTAAAAAAATACAGAATGTTTAAAAAATAACCTTTCTCTTTTCTTCTCTTTCCTTCAATAATGTGTCCTTATCCACTAATTTAACCACAGTTGGAAGTCCTAAAGAAGCAAAAAAACAGATGAATGAGTTTCTTGATTAGTCAAAGGCAAATGTATTTACCCTATGACAACTGTTTTCTTTTTGCATCCTGAATGCAAATGCACCCGAGTGACCACTCAGAAGGGACTAAGAAATTAGGTGCTATACAAATAGATAAAAAATACTGCAATGTATGTTTTTTTATTCTATACATATATTCCAATATACAGTTCTGTCATATATATTCATACATATGATATATGTACCATTATATATGGTACATATATGAGATATAGATGGTACATGTATGATATATATGATATGCTATAGTTTTGCAGTCCTTGAGTTTGTTGGATTATTCCAGATTAGTCTTGACAGTTTGTTTTCCCACTTCTTAGGAAAACAGTGGGATTATAAAAACAGCTACCTGCAAAGTTGCCAAACAACACCGCGTACCTTCATGATCTTCGAATCGAACTCCAAGCTCAGGAAGGATGTCATCTCGAAGAGCATCACTCAATTGCAGCACTTCAGTTACTACAGAGTGAAAAATACTTTTAGTGAAGTAAGATCTGGTCAAAGTATATCCTTTTGTCCTGCTACATAGTTATTTCAATGCAATTAAGAAGTTGCCACGGAAAGGTCTTTTATTTTAAAGTGATAAAGCTTTTTAAGTAAGCTCTGCCCTGTTTGAGCTACACAGAGAAGCAGTGTGTTTCTTTGCAGGAACTTGAAAATAATAACTCTTCCAAGATACTCTCATTGTTCCTGAAGGGGAACAGAAAGCAAATCCAAGGCAATTCAGAAATGATGCAACAATTCCGCCAGGGTATATGACTCAGGAAGGTTCTAATGGTTGCTGTAGGATTTCCACTATGAAGAGTTAAGAACTTAATTTTAGAAAAATCACAAATTAACATATCCTGTGCTACATCTAACACTGCCCTTTGAAGGGCTATGATTTTGTTGGTTTGATAACTATGCATACATTTGTCAGAGCAATCGTAATCCAAACATCCTCTGTTGTATTTCAAGCAAGCTACTTGCAGCAGAACAGAATTTTGATTTGGCTTTCTGGATGGTGACCATCATGACTAATTTTTTTTCCTTGCAGAATTATCAGAGAGCTTTTGATGACAGCAAATGGTTAAGAATTTGGGATTTAGATGAAATAGATGCTTTCGGGTCTTAAGAAGGAAATAAGTCTTCACACAAAAGAATTTTTTGGATGAGAAACTGTATCAGCTGAGAAGTAGCAGAACAGTGAAGAGGAACTAAAATACCTCGAGGAGACCCAGTGTATTGCTGTTGTGAACTCAATTCAGTGGCAGATTTTATAGACAGTTTTGCATTTAGGAGAAACACTAAGTATGACAAGACAGATACTTGGTTTAGATGTGCTTACAATAAAGTGTTTTCCCTTTCAGCAACTCTCAGCTGGTTAAACCTACGAAGCAATCAGGGCCTCAAAGGTAGTATTTCTGGCAGTAGAAGGTACCAGTGTGCTAAACACTGCACATAGCAGTAGGCACAAGTACCATCCCTGGGCCTTCATCTCTTCCATAATTCTCAGAGCCTCAGAGAGCTGCCAGTGAAGAGAGCACTGACTATCCTAATACTGTAAAAAAAAGAACAGACACCCTATTTCACTGCAGGGTAGTGCTCTGTGACTCTCTGTTTGTAAAGGAAACCACTGCAGTTATAGAACTTCTTTTGTCTGCTGTAAACCGAGTCATTATTTTTCTTGATCTAGAGCAGTTACACACAGTAAACCACATTCATGTTTGATGCAACTCTAAATAAGCCATTAAGATAAACAAGGGATAAGATTACCTCACTGGCTGTTAACACTAAAAGCTGTTGGCTCTAACCTAGGCAAAGGAATTACACATATCATGTCAAGACTGTATCAGATACACCTACTGCTTATTCAATAAAACAGCATCTGCACAGTTATAAATGTTTGCTTATCCAAAATCATGAATAATTGAAAGTTTAAGAAGAAGAAGAAATCCATCAAGGTAGAGAATAAGGAGAAATGTATAATAAAACATATATTATTTATGAGAGGACACATCCTCTCATCAATCCTGTCCTCCAAAGGACTCAGCGCTGTACGTCTTAGGGCTGAATTGTGCCTGTTCTTTGCATGTGGTACCTCCAGAGCAAAGACATTTAGGGACTGGGTAGGGGTTTGTTTATAAGTTGCCTCAAGACATAAGCCATTATCCTCACTGAGGACAGTGACCAGGAAACCAGTGGGACAGTGCCTTATCACCAGTGACCATGAACACCTTAGCAGCTAGGCCCTCCTTGGGCCTGTGACTATTTTCCAGACCTCTCTTTCACATTTCCTGTGAGTTTTAAGCCAAAAAGTATGGGATGTGAACAGATGTTGAGCTATTGTGAACGGGAACACTGTGATGGGAAGGAAAAAGAGGAGTTTGAAAAGCGTCTTGAGAATGTTGGATGTTAAGACTGGCAGCAAAAGACAAGAGGAGGCAATGTTATAATGAGCAAGTTTGTCCCAGTTCTGGTCAACTCATGATACATTAGGAAGAGGGCAGAAGGTTTCCCAGTGCATCCTACAAGCAGCTCAGAGCAAGATACCACATAGCACCATCACCCATGGCAGGAAACAAAGACTCAAGCAGAGTTCAGACATGGACACCTTTACCATGGGGTAGTCAATTTAAGCAGGTGTCCTGAGGTTAATAACTAACAGCTGAAGAGACTTGCTCTTGTTTGAGCATCTGAATAACAATTCATTACTTATAAGAATTCTTCACAAGCACTGGGAGCTGCACTAGAGCACAGATCTGCTCCACTGTGCATCCCTGCAGAGACAGTTATAGGGGGTCTTCAGTTGGTCTAGTACTCAAGTAAAACGTTGGGATGTGCAATACAGAGGTGCTCTGACAACCAATCACTGATATCTTTTGCAGAGCTTTTCTGCACTGGTTTCCCTGGTGCAGCCATCACAGTGTTTTGCTTTTTCTGTTTACCATCATTGCTAGATAGGTACACGAGTTCAGACTCAACCACAGATGATCAGTGCAGGTTTCCAGTTTGAATACTAATAAGCTTATAAAACAGAATTTATTTTACTAACATGTTTGAATTTTAATCATTCTCCATGATGGTTACTTTCTTGCAGAGAATATACATTTTGAGTCCTACTAAAACCCATAGTTTTACAAATGGCTGTTCTGTGAAATGTTTTTCTGCTAGCATCAGGGAAACTCCCTTGACTTACAGCCATGGAGAGGTAATATCCCCAGCCACTAATCAGAACAACTTTTACAGTAATTTAATACTTTCTGCAAGCAAGAATTTAGTGGGTACAGGGAAACAAATTAGTACAATGTCAGTGCAGGTCCTGCCAACCACCACACAGCTTCCATATATCAAATAGTTTAGAAGAGAAGTGCTTCCCTGGTCAAATTGCAGAGTGCTCTGTACCCCAACCAAACAGCAACTAGATTGAGATTTGTTCTTACTGTCCAGTGTATTTCAGGCAAGAAAATCAATACCTTCCAAGGAAGAAACTCAAGTGCCAGAGCCAAGGATGCTCTAAAAATGATCTAAAAGAAGCCCTGTGATATTTAAACCTTACCACTGCTCAAAGCAAAGATCACTTTAGCTCAACCATCAGAGAGCAAGGAAAAAAGCCTCATATAAAGTGAGTATTTACATTAAATACTGAAAGACCAAAGCTCACATTTTTGCCTGAGGATATGCACACAAACTTCTTGAATTAATTCAAATTACAGAAAATATTTGCTGTTGGAACTCATCAGCCTATTTCTCAGCACCAATTAGGCCCACATGAGTTTGACAGTAATAGCTGAGTAGTCACATTAACAAATACGGTTTTGTGCTTTTAAGGTAAACTTATTAGCCCTTAGAAAGACTCCAAACAATAGCAGAATGAGAGTTTAGTCTTTGCCAGCTGAATAGGTTACCAGACACTACAAATAATGTTATATTTCTGTGTAATATATAGGTTGTTATATATGTTTTATACATTTAAAAATACTGGTTTGCCTTCCCAGTGTAAAAGGTTCAAGAAAACAAGAATCAAATACATATTGAAGACATGTAAAATTCCACAGGGAATAGCAGAAAATAATAAGAGCTCCATTAGGAAATAATCAACCAGTAAAATCAAAGAGAGGTTAATAGAACAACCTTTTTAACACTCTGTAGTTCTGCTGCCTTTTATACATTTAAAAATACTGGTTTGCCTTCCCAGTGTAAAAGGTTCAAGAAAACAAGAATCAAATACATATTGAAGACATGTAAAATTCCACAGGGAATAGCAGAAAATAATAAGAGCTCCATTAGGAAATAATCAACCAGTAAAATCAAAGAGAGGTTAATAGAACAACCTTTTTAACACTCTGTAGTTCTGCTGCCAACACACATCATCAAAGCTTTTTTTTGCAGGATTAAAAAAGCATCCAAAACAACTTCTAGCAAACTCACAGATGAATTCTCCAAAGAGAGCACTCAATTACCATCAGGAGAGCTACAATTCCAACCATGCTAACAAATAACAACGAACATCTCAGGCTATTTAAACGCAGACAGTATCATTGTGTAGCAATCTGCACTTTTAAGAGAAGGCAAGCTCCCTGGGGAAGAGATCATGGGTAATTTCCTATCTAGAAAGCAGGGAGTGCCCTCATCTAGGAAAAAAAACCAGCTAGACCTTATCCTTCCAGAACTTTTAGATTCTTTAGGAAATTTAATTAGTTTAGCAGCCTGTAGAAGATTCCCAAATTAGACAGGTGGCAGTCATGCAATTATTCAAACCAGCTCTGATTTAAAGATGCCTTACTGTTATTCTCTAAGCAAAGAGAGACTCTATCAGCTGCCTCCCACCCCTGCTCCCACCCCTCTCCCCAGTTTGATTCCCAGGACCTCTGGGTCTGTCTCAGGTGCAACAATATAGGAGAAAGTGAACTCTCACCTTTCTTCTCTCGGGCGATTTGTCGCACTCCTTCTCGGAACTCAGACAGAACTTGTAGGTATGGCATCACTGTAGATTCAATCTGCAGAACCATTATTTCTACAGTTAGCTAATCATCATTTAGATATAAAGTACATCCTTACCCACTTCATCTTTATGTGCTGTTGGAAGGAACTTGACCCTCAGGGCCAATATACTAATGTATCAATAAAAATTGTCATTGCTCTATTGATGTCAAAGGACAGATGATAATTTGCATTAGATGTCAATTTTCATTTAGTACAGACAAAATCAGATTGTGAAGTTCAGCCTCTCCCCATTCCTTTTTCATCTCTTTTCAGCCAGATACATCAGTTCCACAGGGTTATGCTACAGTCCAGCTAACTGTAATGCAGTGCAGGGATAAAAACAGCACTCAAGATGAATTTGTCCCTTCACCTTCTGTGTTGTCCTACTTAGGTCTAGCTACCTATCAAACATAATATCAGGTGAAACTGATGTTAGGACTTCCTTTCCTTAGAGGACAGATCTGTTCCTCAGATGTTAGCTTATGCTAATTGTATTTCTTTCCAATACAGTGCATGTGTCTGTACTCCTTGCACAATTCCCTCTCCCACAAAAAATGAGGAAAGGTGACTGCTGAATGATTTCAGGTGTAAGTAAATGCTGGTCATGAAAGCTCAAAGCAAAAATCCTGTGAATCCTGCTCTCAATGGCAGTGAATAGCAACATCCAGCAGTTAGTCAACAGCAGTGAACAGTTACAAAAACAACTACAGATCATCGCTGTCTGCCAACACTGCTTTGGAATCCCAAGAGGAGAAGCCAGGCACCCAGGGGACTGCTTGAATTAAAAGTTTCATTACTTTGGAAGGTAAGTGAGAGAGAGAAAAACTGCACACATTTGTCTCCCCTACAATATCCACGTCCTTCCTGCCTGGTAAATCTCCACAACAGATTTCTGTGCAATTAACAGAGAAGATAGATTGTGTCATGCACTAAAAGTGCTCATATGGAAAGAGCTGAGGAGCTCTGTTAAAACTTTTCACAGTTGTGAATACTAAACAACCAGCTTCATAACTGGAACCAGTGCTGACAAGTTTGGCCCAAGGAGCAGACACTGGAAAGTGAGCAACAGTCACATCTCCACTCCTCCCTCTGCACTGGAGCTAGCTCGGTGTGCAAACGAGGTGATGTCAGGGAAGAATGCACTGTCACTACCTTATCAGTCACTTCAAGATGAAAGATTTTTATTTCCAGAATACCTAACTCGACAGAAATTCTTACTCTATTTGGAAAATGAGACTGTAGAACCTAAAGTTTTCTGACTTCAAATCTGTTCTATCCCCTTTTCAAGTAAATTACTGACCCACAGTAATTAAGCTAGTTGTTGTTCTTTCAGAGCTTTTGAAGAGGATTATGCCTTTTTTGGAGATAATGACTCTATTGGTTCTTTCATCTCCAATCTAGACAAAGAAACAATAGGCCTGATCCACAGCCTTCTGTAATTAAGTTTTTGAACCTTGAAAATTCATCTGGTACTTTTTGCTAAGAAAAATAAGTATCTGCATGGAAGACTGAAAGACGGTATAATATTTAACCAAACAGCCAAAACACTTGTGATATTATGCATCTTTATATTATAATGCTTGAAACCAGTAATGACCTCAGTGACAAAACCAGAAGTTTTCTGTGTGTAATAGATGTTAGCACAGGATTCTTTCTGCACAAGATGCTTCTGACTCTACTACCCTTGGCAATGCTATTTTAAAGGAATGAAAGGGCTTAGCTTCTTGTCCCAAGCTATTACCAATCCTTCTATAAAGCACATTTATTGTAAACACTGCCAGAGTGATAAATACAAAGTTAATTTTTATCCTTAAAAAGGCAAGTGTTCAAGGGCTACTTTTCCTCTGAAATACAAAATAATTCTGAGTTAAATTAAAATTCACTATTGATGGGTTTGGTACAGAACGCAGAGCATCTTCCTCATTATCCTTATTATATCATTATTGGAAATTCCCACATTAGCACACTAATGTAAGTATCTGCATGGGCAGTTATCAGATGAGTGTTCATTCACCTTCTTCAACCACAGGCAAACTTTCATCTTCCTTTGATGAATAAAGAGCTGAGCTTTTTTTCTTACACCAGAAATGTTTCATTTATTCCTTCTAAGGATAAATGGAAAGATATATGGTCACACCTTTAAATGCAGAAAAATACTTGAAAAGCAGCACTGATGTGTCCATGAGAGATTTTCCACATGAACAAAGAGAACAAAGTTGATGGTTTTCACATGGAGTTATTTCTCCTGGCTGCACCACAAAACGGTACTGTTATTACAGAGCCCATCAGCACTTTAATCAGGTATCTCTCAAGTACTTCCAGAAAAACTCTGCATCACAGTGAAACTGAAGTGTGACCAAAGCAAAACAGCCTTCAAAAGCCACATAAAAACTGTGGCTACAAGTGAGTTCAGAAAAAGAGATTGAAACGTGGATAAAACTCCAGCCGCTTCCAGGCTGGGTTTTGGTGTACCACAAGGAAGTTTAATCAGTATAATTACATTTTTGAAACTACTTAACATGCAAATACTTGTAATGAGTCTTTAGACTGTAGCATGTGCTGTCTGTATTTCACATGCGGTTTCTGAAACAGACTCATCATTCAGAAGACAAGATAATTCTCTTTCTGGTTGCTATACAATTTGTCTGTCATTAAATCAAACAAACCTATAAAAAAACCCCAACTCCCATAAAAGAAAATTCCTGCTTTCTAAGCCAATAAATTACAGCAGACTCAAAGGCTAAAACCAGAGAGAATGTAATTCAGCTACATATGATAGAACCATAGAATTGTCAAGGTTGGAGGAGACCTCTAAGATCATCAAGTCCAACCATTAACCTGTCACTGCTGTAACCCCTAAACCCTAAACCATATCCTCCAGCACCAGATCCAGATACCTCTTAAACACTTCCAGGGATGGTGCCTCCACCACCTTCCTGGGCAACCTATTCCAGTGCCTGAACACCCTAACAGGGAAAACATTTTCCCTAGCATCTAATCTGAATCTCAGTATCAGTAATGTCATGACTTTAACCTAAGGGACACAGAGTAATTTTGTGTAGTGTACTTTATCCTTCACTTACATTTATGTTTTGACTACTCCCTCCAACAGGAAAACCAATTGCATCATCACTTTCTATGGCACCAAAAATCTGGTCAAGGAAAAAGAAAAGGAAAAAAATAAATATTGCATACGTCAAGTCACAAGTATGAGAAAACTAAGCAAAATCACATGTACTAGGCTTTTGAATGGTTCTCATTTAACCCACAAATCACAGCTTTAACAAGATGATACTCTGTTTTTTTAATTGACACACCATGCTAAGCATTGGCTTTCAGATTCAGCTTTCAAGCTGTCAGATTTGACATTGTGACTTCATATTTTTTGTACTTTGTAATTTTCCTTGCATGTATTAGGGGCTCTCCACTATTCAACAAAACATTAGCTGAAAACATAACATAACATAAAGGACTCCAAATTGTTCCTGCTGCAGCACACACTGCAGTTTGGGGCTGTTTTGTGGAAGATCTCCAGGTTCCAGTTAATATTGCACAGTGCAATAGCAATGTCATGACCTGCTGTTACATACCTTCAGCATTTGAGTGAGATAGGAACTGATGTTTTCTAAAAGAAGTCTGTTTGGCATTTGTCTGGAGGATTTCTTTGCAGCAATATAGGAGTTACTCTGACTCACTAACGAACGCATTTCTTCCAAGACAGAGCGAGTGTCGATATTGTCACACAGAGCTTCATGAATTGCTGCCTTCTTCTCATAGAAACTAAGAAGAAAAATACCTTTTTACTACTCATGTCAAAAATATCTGCAACCTACTCTGAAGAATCTCTATTAGAACAGTAAGGAGACCTAAAAGTGAGATAATCTTTTGTTGGCCATAGTTTATATTTGAAGGAAAAACAGATGAGCAAGAAAAAAGGCATTTATCATGACACTGCTGTTTTGCTGCTATGGACAAAGGCAGGCAGGATAATCTAATTGGCAACAACTATCCAAACAAATTACATCAAACACTTTTTTAGCAACTGGCCTTTTCATGCAAGTTTTTTTTAAAGCATTACAAATTGCTTATTTAGTATCTTCTTGTGCTTACTTTTTTTTGCGCTCTTATCCCAAGTACTCTGTTTAGTATCTTTCCAGGCAAGAGCACCAATTTAACTCACCACAAAGTGCATCGTGATAAAGATATTACAAGTAGATATAAGGAATAAATTCATGCCAACCTTTGTCATGTTTGTGAATAGGCATAATAAACAATACAGGGTGAAAACACCATTTCATCTCACAAAGTCTTTTCTGTTTCAAACAACATACTTATTCCAGGGAAAAGAGAATGAGAAGTGGTAGAAGAAAGGAGACAAAACAAATATCCATGAAGTGCTAGCTTATCTTCCTCCCACTCCTTTATCTCTTCCTTTTGACCTCTCTATTCCTTACTATCTCCCCTCTTTTTTAACAAAAAGGGTTTTCTCACCAACCTTGAGTTGAAGATGAAATTTCAGAGGACATCACTACACAGCAGCATCTGCACTTAGTCCTTCAATATTCAACATTTGTGACCACAACAGTGAACTGAACTAGGAAAAATTTTAGTACTGCAATGAAAGAGGCTTCTATTTTAAATTTTGGACATAATAGAAGCCATAGAGGAAGCTGTTCATGTTACAAACAATAATGATAGTGTTGTTATAAAAATGAAAGACTCGAAAATTGCTATCACTGTCTCAACAACACATTTTCAAACACTGGCTCTCTGACCTTTTGTGGTTTTACTCAGGTCATTTAACTCCTGTTTGCCTCAGACTGCTCACTACACTTTGAAATGTGTAAAATACTGTTTTTCTAGTTGTAACCACTGTGAGTTATTGGTCAGTTCTCAGACAGATTCCAAGCAGTGAAGAAAATGACAGTTAGCTAACAAAAAAGTTTTTCTTCCCTTCATAAACAGGGTGATGAGGCATCCCTGTGTACTTAACATAAATGAAAGGGAAATTACCAATTTTATCTATACTCCATAAAACTGTCACAAGATTAAATTCATTGCTTGTAGAGCTGGGATGCTCAGTGGAAATGCTGCAGATATAAAGATCACAATATACATTGCAAGTGATTTTATAAGGGAAAAAAGCATTAAATATGTAGCTACACAATGGCCATTCAGAGGGAAGTAGGAATGCTCCACTCACTTTTTATTCAGCTCTGTTTCTTGGTTTTCCCATTTTTGAAACTGGCCTGTCACATCCGTGGGAGCTCGGAGAATATCCTTCACATTTAAAAAGAATTCCTATAAAAGAAGAATATAGCTAAAAATCAGTTTCATACAATCACAGAATCATCAAGGTTGGAGGAGACCTCTAAAACCTTCAAGTCTAACCACTAACCTGCCACTCTGCTGTAACCCCTAAACCCTAAACCATATCCTCCAGTGTCAGGTCCAGATCCCTCTTAAACATTTCCAGGGATGGTGACTCCACCACCTCCCTGGGCAACCTATTCCAGTGCCTGACCACCCTGCCAGGGAAAAAGTATTTCCTGACATCTAATCTGACTCTCCCCTGTCTCAGCTTATGAGTTTCAATTAGACACAACCAATATAACCACAAAATATTGCCATTGACACACAAAAAAATGCCCTTAGCACAAAAGGGCATCATTTCTTAATTAGCCTCCTAAACTTTCTGGGTTCAACACTGCTTCAGACAGAATCAATTAAAAGTCTGTCAAGACAAGGAAACCCACACATTTTGTGTAACTCTAAATCACCGCTGGACTGTATTTCAGTTCTGTCTCTTGGCTCTGTCACTGCATGATACACTAGGATACTCTAACACCAAGCTACTCATAAACAGTACCATTTAAAAAAGTTTAGGCAACAGTTCTTCTGGCAGATTTTAAAGTATGTTGCTAGCAATGGAAGCTGAAGAATAAAATGGCTTTAGAGTGAGGATATGTTTTATATGAGCATCCAGCATGGTAGAAAGTAATTTTAACCTATTCTGTGGCCCAAACCAAACATTTTACAGAAACAGCAGAATAGTCTCAGCTGGAAAGACCAAGATCAATGATCTCTAAATGCTGGACAGCATCCTTGTGGGAATGTGGATTGAAATTATAACTTCAAAACAAGCAGGGACAGGAACTGTGCCTGACTTCTTACACCCAGAATCACAGAATCAGTTCGGCTGGAAGGGACCACACTGGGTCATATGGTCCAAACTCCCTGCTCAAGCAGGGCCACCCTAGAGCACATGGCTCAGGGTTGTGTCCAGATGGTTCTTGAATATCTCCAGTGACGGAGAATCCACAGCTTATCTAGGCAATCTGTTCAGTGCTCAGTGACTGCACAGGAAATAAGTTCTTCCTTGTATTCAGGTGGAAGTTCCTGTGCATCACTTTTTGCTGTTACCTCTTGTTTTATTGATTTCCACAAGTGAGAAGAGTTTGTTCCATCATTTTGGCACCTCCCATTCATGTACTTGAATACATTGATGAGGTTCCCTCGAGGCATAGAGACAAACACTACAATGTACATAGTGAGGAGAAAGATGGGAATGATACTCCCTCTTCCTCTTTGGCTACATTTGTGTAAAGTCTGACCTGGTAGACACTTTGTGAGAGTGTCTATTGGACAGAGTTCTATGAGCAAGCTGAAGTGAGAAACAGATCTTGTGTGTAAGTGCCAAGCTGCCCAGAGATGTCAAAACTTGGAGAGAGCACCCAGTTGCAGAGAAATGCAGCAGTCTATGGAATTTACATGACTTGAATGTTCAGCAGTAGCTAAACAAACACTGTGACATCCCACCTGATGAATTCAGAGGGCAAACTCAGTCTGGGAATATGGCCTATATATCCCTGGAGTTCTATTCCTTGAAACACATATGACAACACAAAGTTTAGAGAGCTGGAGCGGGAATGGAAAACTTACATTCATAAACTTCTCATACTGAATAGCTGACTCCATAGTATTATTTGAATAATCCAGTGTATCCTTCCAAGAGTGCATGAGGAAAGCCAACCGTAGCTGTCGTGCTATTAGGAGTTTCAAAATAAACAAGGAAAATTACCAAAACTTAAGGCATTTTCATGGCCTCTAATACAGCAGTGGCTAAGAACATAATTTTTAAAATTCTTCCTATCACTACACCTACCAAAAAAGCCAAAACTCTATTATCCATACAGATACTACCAACATGGAACAGAAAAACAAGGAAGCTGTTCTGTTACTGTGGAAGAAAGATGCCTGAAGTTACATGGAATAACAAAATTGCCACAGTCCCCACTAAAGTACATCAAAAGCACTCACACTCCAAGGTAATTTTTACCTGTATGTTTCTTCAGTGCATCCTTTATGGTAATGAAATTCTTCAAGGATTTGGACATTTTACAGCCAGCAATCGTTAAGTGGCCAGTGTGCAGGAAATACCGAACCCAGTGATCGTTTTCAAAGTATGCCTGCAGGGAAAAAACAAACCCCAAAGACCCAACACTGTTTACATACATACAGCAAAGTAGGAAAACTTAAAAGAATAAACTCCTGAGAAGCAGAACTTGTGCTTATACCAAACACACGTGAAGTTTCAAAGATGGAATGCTGGATTTATGTAAGTTGCAGTCAAAGCAAAGCAAGTTGCTTTTTCACCACAGAAGCTGAAGGCCAGTTCACTCACCTCAGACTGTGCCAGTTCATTGTCGTGGTGGGGAAATCGGAGATCAAACCCTCCTCCATGAATATCCATTGACTCTCCTAGAATGGATCCAGCCATTGCCGAACATTCGATGTGCCAACCTGGACGACCCTGTTAAGAAAAAAAGACATTACTTGGCTACTAGTAATTGTCTTCCTCTGCTGCCTATGCCTCACTCCCTCACTGGTCTGCCTCCAACCACACCTAAGGATCCACTGTTCCTAAGTCTAAAAAGATTCTCTGTCACAGCTTCATAAAAGTAAGCTGTTGCATTGAAACATCCAACCTGGCCTGTATATATGTAATGCTTTCATTATCCTTGCTACTATTCTTTCTTAAATTACATTAACATTCTTATTATCCTGATATATTTTGACTATTTTTGATTAGTCTTTTAAAATTACATTAGTATTTTTGATCACAAGGAACAAAAAAGGAAACAGAATTTCCTGCAGATAAAGCCTGTCAAGAAACAGGACAAATGACCAGTAACAGCCATCGTGATCCTGCACACAAATTTCTCCTTAAAAAGTATCAGACTGGTACACATTCTGAATTATTAAATGAACATAACAACAGAATCTATGACTCAAACAAGACCTCCATAACCTATACATTGTTAATGTAAGGTGAGGCAAAGTACTTGTGTAAAGTGCTATTTAATGAAGTGTAAAAAATCTAAATCCTAATTACAGTGTCACAGAATCACAGAATCATCAAGGTTGGAGGAGACCTCTAAGATCATCAAGTCCAACCATTAACCTGTCACTGCTGTAACCCCTAAACCCTAAGCCATATCCTCCAGCACCAGATCCAGACACCTCTTAAACACTTCCAGGGATGGTGACTCCACCACCTCCTTGGGCAATTCCCTATTCCGGTGCCTGACCAACCTAACAGGGAAAACATTTTTCCTAACATCTAATCTGACTCTCTCCTGTCTCAGTTCAAGGCCATTCCCTCTAGTCCTCTCCCTGCAGCCATGGCAGGAGAGATCATCCCCCATGCCCTTACCTTTCCCCATGGAGAATCCCATGAGGGCTCTCCTGGCTTGGAGGATTTCCATAAAGCAAAATCATTTGGAGAACGCTTCTCACTTAAGCGATCTGCTGAGATGCTCAGGTCACCTTTCAAAACAGAAAATGTAAATAAATACATTTTGCACCAGCATTGTTGACTTTTGGTGTTGCTTTAGCTCACATGAAGTGAATTTACAAGCATAAATTTAAAAAACTCAACCAAACAAAAAACCAAATTGCTGAGCCCTCAAAAATCCTCATCATTAAGCTTGATAATCCCTTGGGGTTTCTATTAACGTTTGGTTGACAAACACCTGACAAGTATCAGCTGCATTGCTTTCTAAGTTTTGACATGAGATTCATCTACATTCTTTCAGCAGGCACAATATTGCAATTACAGAAAAAAGGTACAGAAAGATAAAAACTGTACTCATAGACAAGTAGGATTGCAGAAGTGACTCATTCCAAAGTTAGATGGATCCAAATGAAAACTCTGACTGTCTTAATCTGCAGACACAATGGGATCACAGAGTATTTCTTCCACCCGTAATCTCAGCTGCTGTACAGAATGACTGGTATTTGTTCAACAGCTACATTTACGGTTCTGTTACCACCACAGATGTGTTATGCATTATTTGTTCTTCACTTCTTATGATCATTTAGGTGGTTACTCTTACTACAAGATATAATAAACAAGGAATTTACCATTTCTGCACTACTGTCCAAGACTAAAAGTGGCCAACTATACCACTTAGAGCATAAAATTCCAAGACAGACTAAAGATAAGATTGTCAAGGTTAAACTTCTCAATTAGTTTTGGGGTACAGGTTGGGACATCTGCAATCTCAATTGCTTGGAATATTGTACATTATGCACTTTAAGTATCCAAGTATTATGCTTTCATTCACATTAACTGCAACTTTCAAAGCTTTGCATTTCTGCTGATTGTAACAGTCAAAATTACATTATCTGTCAGGGTAGCAACAATCACCACCAATGAATTAAAGCAGCTGAACTGACAAGCAGGAACTTGATGTCTGCATACCCTTGGTTAGTTACATTAATCACTCAGCATTGGTTCCTATTTGCGAAAGGACAGAACAGTCCAACAGAAGTGACTGGTCACGTGGTCAAAATGACATAGTCATGTTTGTTACCACAGGCATGGCAGCTTAAGTTGGCACTTTTTATTTCACATGGAAGATTTCAGCTATAAGGGTTTGAATTAAGAAAAAAATCATACCTAGTTTAAGCTGCATCTTTCAGATATTGCTACTTACACCCAACATGAGTGTCCTGATTTCCCCTGCTATGAGTATTACATTAAAATCTTATAATATACTTTTTATACAATTTGTGGATGATCTGCTACTAAAACTGCACAACCTTAGGAGCAAATAACTAATGAGTCTGATTTATAGAGCATTTGAAGCTAATCCTCTGCTATAGCTCGACTAAAAAAAAAATCTCTGCTTTGATTTAGTTTGACATAACAAGGTTTACAAAGTAAAAAGAGTTCTCAGCATTAAACACGAACTCAAATATTTGTCAAGAAATAGCCCCAGCCTGATGTGAGGAGCTTTCATCTCGATGTGGAAGACTCAGCTTCATGTCTTTGCTCCTACTCTGGACCAGATGAACAATCAAATAACTGGGCAATGGTCAAATGGCAGAGGTGTTTACAATTCTGACTTAAAAAAAACCCACAAACAACCAAACGAAATAGCAACCCAGAAGCATCCTAGAATTAATAACATTTCTGGGTATTTTCCATTTAAAAACTTTCAGGAATGTACTGGCTCAAGCTACAGAACTTTGGCAAAGAAATCTATTGGTAAAGGAAGTGCAGAGACCAACATATAATGAGTTTCTTCAGTAACTTAAGTAAATGTTATTTCCCCTTTTTACCTTCACCCTCTTGAAGAGCTTTTTGATCACCTACAGCTTCAGGAACCAACTTAGCATAAGAGTGTTTTTCACTGGAATCAAACTTCATAGTATCAAAATATACAGATCCATTGGACACGTACCTGAAAAGTTAAAGATCATTATTTAGCTAACTTTCTACCACAGTTGAATGAATTTTATCCCCACTCACGGTATGGTACTGCTCAGCATTGTAAAGGTGACTTAGGTGAGCCTAATTTTTAAAGCCTTACCATAAAGACTTTGGACAAATCATTGAAAGTCATAATAAAATTGTTCAAAGGGAAAACAACTAACAGCTTTTGTTAAGCTCTTAAGGGATGAGACATCAGATAACAGTCACAAGAGAAAAATATAGAATAGAATCATAGAATCATCAAGGTTGGAGGAGACTTCTAAGATCATCGAGTCCAACCATTAACTTGCCACTTTGCTGGAACCCCTAAACCATAATCCATGTCCTTCAGTGCCAGATCCAGACACCTCTTAAACACTTCCAGGAATCGTGGCTTCAATACCTCTAGACCCTTTTAAGATTTTGCAATAATGTAACATGAATCACGTTTGTTTCACAGTCCTTTTTGTCCTCCTTCACTTTGCTCATTTTGTCCCACTTCAGCCACTATAACAACTCTGGCAGAAAGGTAAGTTTCAGGACCACCATGAATGCCAATACTTCAGTGCAAGCAATTTTGAATAGTGTCCCCTCTCCCTCTTCTTTAAAAAATGTATGTTTAAAGGAAAAACATGGAAGAAAAAATAGGGCTGTCTGAACCACAGGTTTGCTTTTTTTCACAATCAAAATACATCCATGTAAAAATATTTAGGCTATTAACAGAGAGAGAACTCAAAAATTTCAGATAGAAATCTATCATGATACTTGGGAACTTCTAGAGTACTAGCCTGATCTTTACAAATCTTAGACATGGCAGACAACCAGTTGATAATTAGCTTTTAAAAAAGATTATGTAACTTACAACTGATTTCTAGGTGTTGACTCAGGTGTCAACTTTTGAAACCTCTTGCTGAAGACCAGAAGTCAAACACAGTTCAACTGAACGAGACTTTGGCTATTTATTTTAATGAAGAAGGATTTCACCCTGCAAATTTAATAATCTAACCTCTCTTTGTAGGACATCATAAGAAGAATAGAATAGCACATTCTCCTCGGGTGAGAAATAACAGTTCTTTTGCATAGGAACCTGAAATTTCTTTATTGGATGGAAAAACTACTTCTGGAAAAGACTACTGTTACACATGAAAACAGAGAAAAGAGGCAATTATTCTAGCTCTGATGCAGTACAGAATCATAGAATCATCAAGTTTGGAGGAGACCTCTAAGATCATCGAGTCCAACTGTTAACCTACCACTCTGCTGTAAAGCCACTCTGTATAAGCACACAACAAAAGCACTCAGTAGCAAACTTACCCATAACCATTATCCACAATCTTCTTCACAAAATCCACAATTTCTGGCACATATTCACTAACCCGTGTTAAAACATCAGGAGGTAAAACCTATAGATAAAAAGTAGAATTTTATATATACATATATTTTTGTATATATATATTTATGCATATGCAAAAATGCATGAAATATCTATGTTAGACATGCGTTAAAATTTGCTCAAAAGCAAGCGATAATAAAATCTAATACTCCTGTTTCAAGCTTTCTGCTCTGAAACAATGTGCTGTGGCCACTATTTTCTCAGCCTTTAAGGTGACATTGACAACAAACTCCTGCAGGAGCTGTCAGCTGTTCTGATAGAACAGGCAATAAGTCCCTCTGATTTCCAGGTAAATAAATAATACTTCACAGATCTGAACCACTGCATGTGACACAGCATTTCATCTGTACCAGACAAACCTCTTCTTGACTGTTATCATCACATCATTTCTTTAGTGGCTGAAGACTATTAAGTAGCCAGTCTAAACGCTGAGGTTGGCAGGGATCTCTTGTGGGATCTCTTGTGCAGTTCACAGACTCCATCTCAAACTGCTGGATCAGTTTATGATTATGAGCCCATGTTACACCAAGGGGAAGGCATGGAGTGCACACGTCAAACTTGAGAACCAATTAAGTGACTCTGGTAAGATGCACAACAGATTTAAGACTGTTGGGATGGAAACAGAACAAGTACTAATTTAACAGCTGCCCCTTCAGATTAAAGGAAATACTTTATCACTAAGGTTGAAATATGAGGTTCTCGAAAGCTATTAAGGAGCTACATTGTATTCTGGGTATTATAAGACATGGCACACACATTTGCAGAACAGAGTTTGTTTACTTACATTGAGTGCTTCCATGTCTTTATGAAATTCTCCTTCCCAGAATTTGGGGAGCTTTGAGAATATGGAATTGTCAGTCACTTGACTGCCAAATTTTGTGTCCAACCAGTCAGACAGCACATCTTTGGCTTCTTCCAACAAGGTCTATAAAACAATAACAGTTAAGTGCAACTGACCAAAGACTTGCCCTGTTCAAACTCTGCAGAAAGATCTTACTCCGAACAGAGAGGTTTGCTTACGGAATAAGATGCTTGGAATAAAACACTTGGTTATGAACACATAGTAATCCATGCTTCTACCACATTTTTATCATATTGCCCTTCATAAATATAGATTAAATAATTAGAGGAAGGAAGATAAACTGATACATGCTGTTTTGATATTAATCACTTACACAGGCATCTGGAATTTATGCTGTAAATATCAGATGGGACCCACAGTTATATCACATTATCTGTTCCTCTCATTGCTACTGGATGATCTAATAAAAGCCTAACTGTGAACCTAAGAAGTGTCTGGAAGACTAAGTCAGCAAGGATACAATTCAGCCTTAAATGAAAAGGTTACTTTTTTTACACTAGGATATAGTGCAGAAGGTGTGATTGCTTGGATTTTAGTTGTTTTTGAAATTGTTAGGTCAGTATACTTTTATAAAGGTCCTTGATATTAGAATGGCCGTGCCTTTTAAAGCAACACAATTTAGAGAGAGTCTCCTCTCTAAAGGTTCAATAAGGCTCAGTGCTGGTCCTGCACTTGGGACACAACCACTCCATGTAACTCCAGGCTGAGGGAGGAGTGGCTTGAGTGATGTTCATCAGAAAGGGACCTAAGAGTGCTGGTGACAGTGGCTCAGTATGAGCCAACAGTGTGCACAGGTGGCCAAGAAGGCCAATGGCATCTTGGCCTGGATCAAGAATAGCATGGCAGCAGCACTAGGGCAGTGATCATTCCCCTGTACTCAGCACTGGTGAGGTCACACCTGAGTGCTGTGTTCAGTTTTGGTCTCCTCACTTGAAACAGGACATTGAGCAAGTCCAGCCAAGGGCAGCAAGGCTCAGAAAAGGCCTAGAACACGTCATGTGAGGAAGGGCTGAGGAAGTTGGGTTTGCTTAGCCTTGAGAAGAGAGTCCTATGGCGCTCTACAACTACCTGAAAGAAAGTTTTCCCTGTTAGGGTGTTCAGGCACCGGAATAGGGAATTGCCCAGGGAGGTGGTGGAGTCACCATCCCTGGAAGTGTTTAAGAGGTGTCTGGATCTGGTGCTGGAGGATATGGCTTAGGGTTTAGGGGTTAGAGCAGTGGCAGGTTAATACTGGGACTTGATGATCTTAGAGGTCTCCTCCAACCTTGATGATTCTATGGTTCTGTGATTCTCAACGAGGGAGCACATACCCTATGCTTCCCACAGTAATTATCACAAATAATCTGAAAGCAAGAAAAGATGAAAATGGAAAACAAAAGCCACTGGTTATATTGACTCACTTGGTTACTGGGACAGAACCAAAGCGCAATAAAGTCATTGTCACTAAAGTTAATTGTTTCTAATAAAAATAATCCCGAGCATAACTTTGTGGGATGTATTTTCTTCTCTGATCAGAGACACAAACACTTGTGTAGAAAACTGCCACCAGTATTGGAATGTCATAAATGCACGTTCAATAACCTACACGAAAACTAATTTATCAAGACAAAAAAGTCAAAGAAGAAGTCTAACTCTAGGCAAGAGAAAATCCTGTTGGAAAGGTTAAAATAACTGAATATCACAGTGGGAGGGGAAAAAATAGTAATCGATAAAAACATCACCCAAAAAACAATACAGTTGAACTGAAAAATCAGATTTCCTGAACCGAATGTGAAATGCTAAAAAGCCCTCAGCCCCACAATTCCTCTTTTTATGAATAAAAATTCCCATAATGTTTGAGGGAATTACTACAAGCTAATTATTTTTAAAACTCCTAACAATTACAGGACAAATATAAAACTTAAAAAGGAGCTCAAACTGACCTCATGGCATCTGTTGACTTCTTCTGCAGGGAGTTTTGCTTGCACAGCTTCTTGTAGAGGGTCAAAAGCAGACTTCACTGCATTTTGAGTTCTTTCCAACATTTGCTTTTTATCTGGGTCTGTTGTCTCATTTAATTTAACTGAAAAGGGCTACAATTAAAGAAATAAAATTAGAAATACAATACAATATATCTTATATATTATATCTAATATACCTTAGCCACACAATACCTTGCTAGTCATGGATAATATTTTATGCCACAGAAAAAATTTTGACATCAACTATTGAAACATCCGAATTCAGTTTTTCAGAAAGACTTTATAAACTGCATCATGATTATTGCTTAGTACTTTTCATTTTCTATGCAGCTGATCACCTTAATACAATATATCTTATATATTATATCTAATATACCTTAGCCACACAATACCTTGCTAGTCATGGATAATATTTTATGCCACAGAAAAAATTTTGACATCAACTATTGAAACATCCGAATTCAGTTTTTCAGAAAGACTTTATAAACTGCATCATGATTATTGCTTAGTACTTTTCATTTTCTATGCAGCTGATCACCTTAATTACACAGCTGATTATCACAGATCTGAAAAGGACAAGCTTTAATGTGAAACAAAGAGAGATTAAATGCAGTCCTTAGAGAGTATGTCAGACAAAGAGAGTTGGGCAAAATTTCCAGGCCTCCTATTCCCAGGCCTGAATTCAAGTCATTAGAACAATAATTTATTTGTGATCTGCAGTTCTGAAAATTACCAGATAATTACCTTTCCTCACCTTCAGTCCAGCATACACAATTTACTAAATCCCTAAAGATTTGGAGCCTTTCTGCTCTTTCCTAGGTCATCAATGGTACAAAAGAGACACCTCTACAAGCTTTATAGGCATATAACTGTTCAAAAACTATTTTAAAGCATGATTTTTAAAGTCTGAACTCTAACACACAAACACCCAAATGCTTTTTGAGCAATACATGCACTCAAAGTGCATGCCATGAGCATTAAAACCAGGCATGCCTTTATATGGACAGTTCTTGTCAATCCAGAGCAATGGAAAAATCAGAGTGATGTGCAATTCCAGTAACATTTCTAATTTCAGTGGTACCAGGTCAAGAGAATAACTGAAACAAGGAGAAAGTTTAATGAAGTACCAAAGTCTGAGAGGGTGGTGAGACACTGGCACGGGTTGCCCAGGGAGGCTGTGGCTGCCCCAACCCTGGCAGTGTTCACAGCCAGGTTGGATGAAGCCTTGAGCAGCCTGGTGAGGTGGGAGGTGTCCCTGTCCAGGGCAGAGGGTTGGGACTGGATGATCTCTAAGGTCCATTCCAACCCCTGAAATTCTATGGTAAGTCAGATGTATATTTTAGATGCTTTGCCACATTACTTAGTAAGAACCTAAGACACCAGAAGAGATTAAATACCACACTCACCACTGAGGCAGTTCTAACATCTTCAAGAAGCTGATCTGGTGTTGATTTGTTCTCTCTGTATCTTTCAAAAAGGTAATTCTGTCTTGCTCTCTTGATGATCTACAAAGCAGAAACATGGAAATAGTTTTGTGAAGTGCCACATAGGTATACAAAGTGCATATAAAACCTATTACATACCAAAGGCATTTCAGAATCCCTATAAAGATAACATGCTACAAGAATTGCATGCAGTAATACAAATTAAACACACCATACATTGTTAATCAGCTACCTCAACAGAGTCAATTAATTGTTTCAACAGGCAAATAAATTATCTTTGTAAAATGCTTATCCTGCACTATTTAAGATAACATTCATTCATATACAGGAATACAGGGTTTGTTGCCAAAGGAATGCTACAAAACTGAGAAAAATCAATGCCTTTGTGCACCTTGTCTAAGTTAGTAAGTCTAAGATTTATCTTAGGTTATCCAGTGACAATTACACATGATTCTCTGACTTTCATGGTCAAAGTACAGTATTTTAGACTGTGATTTAAAAAGGCCTTACCTTATCATCAATATCTGTAATATTCATACAATAGAAAACATCGTATTTAAAATAATCCCTCAAGATCCTCCTCAGGATATCAAATGAGATGTACGACCTAAAAACATAAAAGATACAGGAGTGTTTTCAGTGAACACCTCCAGTTTATTTTTTTTTCCTGTGCACAAACCACTTTAACCTCAATCAGCAATCTTACAGCTGTTTTAATTTGTCCTCATCTACTAGTCTTTAATCACATAATGACATAACATCATAAAACTCAGTATTGAGTCTAAACAGATTATTTTCTAGTAATGTATTCATCTAACTAAAGTACCTTTTCCTATTATCTTTCGCTTCCAACAGGCTTTGTTATTGCCTACAGCAAAATAAGGAACTGCAGTACCTGGCATGTCCCATGTGAGAAGCATCATAAACTGTTGGACCACAGCAATACCACAAGACCTTTTTTCCATTCTGAGGCTGAAATATTTCCTTAATTGAAAAGGAAGATACAGTAATCAGAAGAAATTGAAAACATAATCTCAGGCCAGTAATGAGATTAGAACATGAAAACTTGGATTCTGATTACAAAAAAGGAATAGTCATTCCACTCCCAGTTTCACCATAAGGAAAGGTCTGCACACATGGTTTTTATCACGGAAGGGAGATAACAAGGTGTGGCTGCTTATGTTATCTGCACTCTTATAAATCAAGATATGAGGTTACAAAGACTTGGACTAGGCAGGGCATTATTCCAGCTGTGTTTGTTTTGCATTGAAGAAGGTTACACAGTATAATCAGATCACAGCTACCTGGATACTACATCCCATATAACAATAATATTCTTAATATTTCCTCTTTCCCAAAGGACCTTCAAACAAGGCCACAAGAAGTTTTACCAGTTTACATTACAACTATCTAACTGGAGAGACTTTTTTTGACACAGGCAACATCTAGTGAAAGAAACTGTGATTTTATTCTGCTCATGCTGCCTACACTGATGTGTATTACAGTCCACTCCCTATTTTGCATGACAACTTGCCATAGGGAACTACCTATGATGCAATAAACATGTACAGACACACAGTAGGGTATGTGTACTTAAGTATGTGTATCATAACACTTGCCCAGCTCACACACTTGGCTGACAGAGCATTTCTGGCATGTGCTTGTTAACACTCCAAAAAATACAACACAGAGGCCTATCAATAGGGTAAACACTTCAGAAATAAACATTTGATGGCTGCTCTAGTTGTGTTTCTATGGAAATCTCCACTCTTCTTTCATTTACTCACCTTACTTCGAGTCAGGCTGTTGTAGAGACAGAGCCTAGAATGTTTTGTCCCTTCAGGGGGAGACCAGGGAGGCTGCACACGTTTGCCTTTACCTAGGAGAAAAAACAGCTTAAAGAAAGCTGAAAAGACACTTTCCACAAAGAGATTTGCAATACAAAATTTTCTCCTATCACATCAAGTTATTTCAAAACAAAAAAAACCCACATATAAATAGAGACAAAGCAGCTTCAGTCCTAACAATCCAACTACTTCTGTTAGATCCTTCTACAAAGCCACCAAACCCAAAGCAAATTAGTTCGATCTGGTTTATTTTCTACTCTCTAACTTGCCATTCCTATTAGCTTTTGATCCAAGGAACACGAAGGAGGAGGGTGTAAAAGTGAGAGCATGCAATTCACTTATAGTATTACCAAGAGTTTTGGAATGTAATGAATTATTAATAAAGTGTTCTGGCACTCCTGGGCTTTCTGCACCACTGACTGTACTATGACAGCACATCACGGATCTCACACTGGATTGGCAAACCATCTCCACAGACCAGAGGTGGTCTCCAGAGCCAATACTCAGAGTATGTGTCCTCAGGGTGAGAGGAGACAGAAAGGCTTCGAAAGAACCTGATTTTTATCATACATTATTGCTATGTAGACAAGGTATTTTTGAACACACTTGCTCCCCAACAAGAGGCTAAATTTTGCCATCAAAGAGAGTAGGTAAAACCCAGGGTACTATTAGTGACAATATTCTTGCATTTGTTTCCCCTTAAATTTCTAGGAAGCAACATAGTTGTTAAATTCATGGATTTTTTCATACAGAGGTATTGGGCTTGTGATCAGTCAGCACTGCAGTGTTATGCACAGGGCTGCTTACAGCTGTAATGATGT